TTCTTCAACCTTGACACTTGGTCAAGCTGTATTCTCTAACCTTAACACTGGGTCAAGCTGTATTCTTTAACCTTGACACTTGGTCAAGCTGTATTCTCTAACCTTGACACTTCGGTCAAACTGTATTCTCTAACCTTAACACTTGGCCAAGCTGTATTCTCTAACCTTGACACTTGGTCAAGCTGTATTCTTCAACCTTGGCATTTGGCCAAGCTGTATTCTTCAACCTTAACACTTGGCCAAGTTGTATTCTTCAACATTGACACTTGGCCAAGCTGTCTTATTCAACCTTGACAATTGGTCAACCTGTATTCTCCAAACTTGACAATTGGTCAACCTGTATTCTCCGACCATGTCATATTGACAAGTTGTGTTCTCCAACGCTGACACTTGGTCAAGCTGAATTCTCCAATCGTGGCACTTGGTCAAGCTTTGTTCTCTAACCTTGACACTTGGTCAAGCTGTGTTCTCCAACTTTCGCCACACTTTGTCAAGCTGTATTCTCCAACCTTCAAACTTGGTCAATTAACTGCTTGAGGATTCTTTAATTTGATTATTAATTGATAAAAATAAGTGTTCCTGCTTACAAATTTGCAAATGAGAATAAATACGATATTAACTCACTGGTGGATTCAAAGTTTGCTGGTATACATAACAGCTGGTAAGAATCTTTTCTACTTTTTCTTGTCCTTGAGTACACGAATTCTGTATAATATATCAGGGTAAAGTTTGGTCGAGCTTTTTTGTATTTAAATATTCTGTAGTTATTATTATATAAACATAATATTTTGTTCGTGATTTGTGTCGGCCATTGTGTTATTGGTAAATCGACTTGAGCGCCCTCTATTGCCATCCACTAGGAAAATATCCAACAGTGACACTCACTCACTCACGCAGCAATCACAATCACATAAACACTTGTTGAATTGGTCTCATAGAATTCAAAATGACAAGCCTTCAACCATCATTTGTACCCAGTCAACCGGGACCCACTGACAATGACATAGACATGGGCGACGTGCAGTTACAAGTGTATACGGAGAATGGTCGTATCTGTGTTGCAGTTGTAAAGGCAAGAGGTTTGATGCAGCACTTCGGATGAGACGCACGCCCAGGTATGCAATTCTCAGTCTGAGGCACTCTCAAACATCTCAATTGCAATCCACTCATACGATTAAAAACTACATGTATGTGAACACACCAAATCGTGTACCTTCACTTAGTTCGGGGCTAGATTTTCTTTTGTCAGGATGATGTTGACGTAAAAGTTTTGGTTTTCCGGCCCCTATCACACATGTGCTTTTTTAGTTTTTTTTCGATTTTTCTATGTGTCGTCCACCCCCCAAATTCAGAATAACCAAAGTTCATCATAACATAATCAACGTTTCAACAGAATATCGGACCCTTTTAATCTCGAGGTAACATATATTATTATTACAAATCATCGCGATCTCGTTACGACCAGCTGTGTGCCAGCGATTTCAATATAGAGTGGGTATGGTGTTATAAAACAGTGGAATTGTAATTGTTATGGGGTACCTATCGCTATTGATGGATATACGTGGTGCATTGCACAATCATTCAAGAAATATCATGAAATTTCCTTTTTCGGTTTCGGCATCTCTGATTGTTTATTTAAAACATTGACAGTGCAGGCGCAGGAGTTCCTCCACGATATTTGATTCCAAAACCACACTGTACTGTATTTTCCCTTTACAATACATTCTTCCTCAATAGTCATATGCTTGTTAATTCCAGAGAAGTTAAACGAACGCACCTACAGTCCAGGTTTCAAAAATCATAAAAAAGTATCGCCGCTTCATCTAATTGCAGCTTATTAGTCCCCGTTCGAACGCACTCCGAAAACGAGATAAGAGACTTATGTTTTGACCTTTGTGCGTCCGTGCGTCCGTGTGTGCGTGTGTGTGTGTGCGTGTGTGTGTGTGTG